TTTCCCATTTCTCTGTGCTGCAGGTTGGAGCTGACCTGTTATCAGTCTGCTGTATAATAAGCTATGGCAAACTACAAAGCTTTTACAACAGCAAAGCAACATCATGCTTTCAGATAAGTTTTATAGCAAAAAACTCCTCCTTTTCAAAGCCTTAGTAATACCTATCTCTTTTACAAACTTTTCCTGTATTATTACAGACTTTTTATATTCAAAATAAGTTCCAAGGATTTCTTTCGTGGACTATGTACATAAGTGCAAAAAAGGTGTGTCTCACACATTCGTACACTAACTGAATCAGTTTAACTGCAGCATATTTGTATCTTCAACACTGTTACGGGGTCATTCCACAATATTTTTTTTTCTTATGTACAGTTTTTGCTAATATAAATTAGTATTAAAATAGTTATATGCTTAATTATTTAGCCCTGATCGTAACGTAATTGCGTGAGTGCTCAATTTCTGGAGAAAAGAAAATTGCAGGCAGAGCTACAGTACTGAAACGGATTAATTCTGAATTCCCACCGTGTGAATGAATGTGAAATGAAAGCAAGACCGGTCACTACGTCGTAAATACAGGCTGTCGTGTTTTTGAAGTGAAAATACTGTGGAATAACCCTTGCCACACAACAATTTCTACAAGCTATAAAACCTGACTCTAAATCCATGTGTTGTAAACTTCTTGACTGAAAAAGTGACCTTAAAGACACAAATTCAGCGTTCACATGGGACTTTGGGATTTTAAAAATATTCAATCATATCTTTATCTGACAGTATCGAACTGTACCTTTAACAAGCTCATACTGTTACACATCACTTTTAATTTACATGTGAAAATTTCACAAATAATGTATACAAAGGTAGCCATGTTGTAGTTTTGTTGCCATAGCAACAACAACTTAATATAATTAGTTAACAATGAATCTATCATTGTAGGAGTTACATACAAAGTTAATTTTGTTCTTAAACTGTAAACTATACAAACTAGTTATGGACTGTATTCTATACCTTACCATGCTTCAGTGTTGGTTTAGAATATAACTAAATGGGCTGAATACATGTATTAAAAATTTTAAACTTTCTCTAACTCTCCTTCAAAATTAAATTCATTAGTTACTAAAGATATCAAAAAAAGCAATAATGAAAACCTTAAAAACTAATGGTAGAGAAATGAAAATATATGACATGAATTAATGCGTTGTAGCCTAGTAACAATGTGTTGTAGCTCTATTTACATTTGGATTAGGCTATCAACTATTTTTTTTTTTTTAAAAGTTATTACAGTCTTTAACATACAGTATATACTCTAAGGCCTTCAACAGGCACATGGTAAAATCAGGTCAATATCAAACTAAATCCATTCAACAGGAATGGGAAATTAGATTTTCCTCATAAATTTCACCTTTTTCAATTTTCATGTCTGTGAAATGTACAAGGGATAAACAAAACGAGGACTCCAGTTTCTCAATCATTGTGTACCCGCGTGTCCTAGAGCTACTCGACCGCGCCAGCCGGCAGCCCGCGAGGCGGAGGAGAAGACGTCTCGCCAGGCACGCGCGTATCCTCCTCCGGCCAGCTGCACCCACGAGACACATACCCATCTCCATCGCCGCCTCGATGGTGGTGGCCCAGCTCCGGCGGGACGTCCGCCGCCACCGGCACGCCGGGAGGACCCCACCGCGGGACCCCGGAGCGCCGGCGCGGCTGTGGTCGGCGGCCAGCCTGGCGGTGCCGCCGTTCGGGAACACTCCGAGCGTGGTGCGAGACGGCAAGGATGGATGGCAGGGAGGAAAAGCGCTTCGGAGTGCTCGGGAAGGGGGCCGGCGCAGGCTGGCCAGGGAGGTAACGGTTTCTAGAACATCGCGATGCAAAAATACACAGTCAAAAATCATCAGCTAGAAATTTCCAACTAAAAAACACGGCTGATTGTGAAATCATGTTCCAAATTACTAAAAACACTGTATTTAACAAAAATAATCTTAATAGTTTTATGAATCCATTTTATTTTAAATCCCTCTTTTATTGTCTGCTTATGTTACAGTTTAGTAGTAGTACTTTTTATTGAAACTACTAACAACCTTTTTTCGTGAAAATGATCAATCTCAGCTTTCATTTTCCCTCTGCATGACCCGTTTTATCCAAGTTTCAGCATTTCTTGCATATTGTTTGCATAAGGCTGAGAGAAATGGACAAAGAGAAATAACTTTGGATAAATAAAAAATATAGGTTCATGGAAAGTGGGAAGCTTATAAAAATGTCACTAAAATTATATCGATTTAAACAAACTTACATACATCTCTTGTCAAATAAAGGATGATATTCATGCTTTTATGACATTTGTTTAGAGTCACTAACTAGCTCGGTGACTTTGTAATAGTCTATTTAGGAAATTTATAGTCTGGCGACTTTTTTTTTTCTTTTCTTTCTTGAACAAAGAAAATTAGAGCAAGTCATTGCACAACTAGTTTAAATAGTGCTACCTCAAAATGGCATTTTTGCCGAGATTGTTTTGAATTTGGTGAAGTTTAGTGCTTCAAGCTTTTCTTTCTTTAAACTCATTTACAAATTAACTCTAAATTTGCCAGCAATATAAAAACTGTTGTGGCACCTAATATAACTACCCTGAACATCCCTCATTGGACCTCTTTAATAAAAAATAATCCTTAAATGCTTTTTTTTTTTCAGTGCTTTAAATGTGACATGAAAACAGCTGTATTCTAGGTTTACATTCTATGCACATCTATGCCAGATGTTTAAGTCGATAAATAAAAGAGGAGGTTACATCAAAGTGTCAAGATATACAAAAATCCATTTAGCACTGAAAAAATTCCAACCTCCTTGAACTCATAAAGCCATACAAGCTTGAATGCATCCTTTCTGGCTTAAGATCAGCTCTGTTCTTTGTTGAGGCACTGGCACAGGTTGTGCAAAACCCATTTTTGATACACAAATAATTTCAAACAGGAAGTACTCAAATCCACTTTTTTCCACTAACAATGTTATGGTTTTGGGAAACAGAAACTCAGTGGTGAAAAGAACAGGTATGCAGTCACCAATATAAATGAGAGTCACTGATTTCAGGCAATGCTGCTGCTTGTGAACGCTGATGGCTGGGGAACATCTATGGACACAAGCGACTGTTAAAGCACAGGGTTCATAAGGGGGGTGGGGATGTTTCTTCCCCTCTCTCAGGGTTTGGTTCAAAGCCTGCTGAAATGAATGGAGAGATTCCTTCTGGCTCAAGGCCTTTTTGAGCTGGGCTCTTCCAAGGTTCTTCCTATGAATGAGTCTCCACAGGCAGATGGTCAGAGCCTGTTCTGGGGTGCATCAGCTGTGCCCTAGATGCCCCTCCATCACTTGTGGTCCGTGGAGATACACATCTAGTAAACTGTCTGCGCTCACACCAGAGGAGAGGGGGCAAGGGAAGTCTCTAACCAAGGCCAAGGAGCTTGGAAAAGAAAAGAAAACCTGGTTGTCAGAATTTGGCACCCTACAGAACCATCGTGAGCTTGGGGTGGCTGGCCCTCCGGATGCTGAGAGCTGGCCTCTTGCTTGGTTTCAATAACGATTCTCTTTCTCCTTGTATGGAGTTCGTGGATTTACAGTAGCAAATCCATTTCTTCCATAATGCCAATGATACTGTAGAGCTATGACCGGGATGAATTTGGCTGTATCCTCAACCAAAATGCATTCTGCAGCCACATTGTTCAGCAACGCAGCATAACGACAGGCTGGGGCTGTCCAGGGTGCACGGGCTGGAAATCGTTTCATTCATGCATATGTAAAGGAGGTATTGAGAACTAGCCCTTGTTGTGCGGCAAACATTGCTCTTGATCAAGTAGAAGGTGCCAAAATAAATCCACTGATCTATAGGAGCTCCATTGAGATGAATGTTTATATACAGTAGAAAGCTTATGCTGAGCTTTCTCCTGCTTTGTTACTGTTGTGTTTGCTTTAAAGGGCCAGAGATCATGGGGCAAAAAAGTCACCCACTTATGGAAAATGGTGATTAAATAATAGGTACACGCTGACAAAATTTCAAGAAAAGCCACATAAGATTTCAGGCCAAAATGTTTCAGCACGTTTAGTGGAGACAAGCCCCTGGGCGTGGTACGACCCAGCTTGGGCTAAGTTGCGGTTATGGGCCCATTCCAGCTAACGGTTGGCATTTGCTCCTCTCCAACGCAATGAGTCTTTGCCCAGCTGAAGCTGTCTCACTTCACCATCTAATTTTTTTTTTTTTTTGACTGCACCATGAGAACAGCAAGAGAGATTGTGCGCCGTTTGCAGCTGAGAATGCACTTCAATGGACAACAGAACTGCAGAAATCCCTTGATGCTTACCACTGTCTGAGCAAATCGTTCCTGTCCCCTTACTGAGCCTGGGCTTTTGTGTTTTTTTTTTTCCAAAAGTTTCCAGAATCAGCTCATTGTATTGAAAGCAATACCCTGAACTGGACTAAAATGACAACTGTCCTTTCATACCACTTGTACTAAAAATTTGGAGTCTATCTGAAGGCAAATTTTAAATGATAAAAGGAGCATTTAACACAAGCAACTTTAGCTGACATTAACAGCAAAATCCAGCAAAGGGCAGAACATTCCTGTGTCGTGTTTTTCAAGCACATAATTCCTGTTTCCCACAATAACATTTTTAGTAAAAAACAAACAAAAACCCATAAAACCTACAGTATATGAAAACTTAAGACATAACAATAATGAAAAAACGGTATTGAGTATACTTGATAATGATGTACACTTTAAAACAAATCCATAGACTATGATGTAAACAAAACAGTAAGATAACACTTTAAAAACAAGACAAACATTTATCCATCGATAGTATACAGTAAACCAACAGTCCGCTGTGCAGATGCACTTATCAGGATGGTAGTCATAAAATGATTAAGTGTGTTAAAGTAATGTGTTATAAAAGTCTATTATAATTTTCTACTTGTATATCTCATATAACAGAGAGCTGTTTGTTAATTGTTTCTATAGTGCTTTTTTTTTTTTTTTTTTTTTGACATTCCCATTGATCAGTTTTTGGTTAACATGTAGGCTGCAACAGGCTTACTGTAGAGGTGGTAGAGAACGATAGAGGGAAGAGGGGATATATACAGAAAGGCCATGCGCAGCTTCCCACCAAGAAGTCCTGGTGCTCCATAATTTTACTGTTCAGAATTTCAACATGGTCTGCTGCAGGGGAAAGAAAAAACAACAAAGAAAGAGTGAGAAGTTAGAGAGAGAGAGATATCTATATTGTAATAAAAGTCATTCTAATAAGATACATTTACATCCTCACTGCATTGCCCAAGAGGTTGCCATTAGTATGTTGCAGAGAGAAAACATTTTATTCCCTTAATTTTCTGATGTAGGGTGAAATTGCTAATAACACACTTGGCATCCTCTTTAATCTGCACTTAGGGCTTTCCATTTCCAGTGTGCTTCACACACATACTGATAAGACAATTAGTGAAAGAGGGAGGTGGGCGAATAATAGTCTTATTTTTGGACAGAATGGCAGGTAGAGAGTGACTAAGGAGAGGGCCAAAGGAATCCCTGACCCCTGTTAGCTCCCGTTTCCTTTAGAGAGAGCCACAGTCACATTAAAATCTAAGGAGCCATGAGCCAAAGGCAAATAGGGCCCAGAGACAAAACACAGACACAGAAACCCTGTGCTCAGGAGACCCTCTTCTGGGAGCAAATTGCCTCTCTTGAGATGTACTCATGAAGACACTCTCCTGAAGGACCCAACTCTTGTCTCCTGCAGAGCTAGACTAGCCAGCCTGGCTACCAGGACCTCACCAACTATGGAGGAAAAGAAAAACATCTGCTAGAGAAGCAAGTATTTCAATTACCCAACTCCCACTCAGGGCAGCTTTGGGAATTGCCCCTCTGCCCCTCAGCACTGCAGAGTGCCAGCCAAGGTCCTCATCTGGCAAAACACTTGAGCACATGCATAATTTCACATGCTCGGGTGGTAGTGTGAAACGATGTGTCCTCAAGAGATTTGCTTGCCTTTAGTTTATGCACGGAGATGGTGGGTAACAACCCAGGAATAGGATCAAAACACACAGGCTGCTGCAGGAAAATGGTCACTGGTGGGTCTGTGAGCACTGGGGATGCTGGGGGACATAGCCCTGTTCTACCAGCCTCCAAAGGTGGTTTATGTCCCCCAGCTGCAAGGTGTTAAGAGGACAAGTGCTTCTGGCAGAGCGATGGCTTATGCATGTGCTCACACTGCCCTCGTGAAGAACAGGCTCCTTCTCTGACCCAGACCTTCTCCATGCCCAGTAGCCTGATCCCCAAGAAATCCCATCAAATTCAATACATTAACGCTAGTTCTTTCAAGCAAAGGTTTTTCATGGTCCTTAACAGCACTGCCGATGCTTTTCTCAACTGACTGTGCCGTGCTCCCTACTTAGTAAAGAAATATATCCCATGGAAGTTCCTCACCTAGTCTGAAATCACTAACTATTGGCAGTGTGAGTTTAAGCACACAGACACACACACACGTAAAAGTGAAAAGAATTCATTAAAAAGAAGTTTCCTGAAATAAATGCTGAAAACAATCTCAAAGAGTTAAAAAATGAGGCTCTTCCAATGCAAATGATTTCCTTATGGGGTGGAACAGGCTATTTTGCATGTGTTATGGAAATGGTTAACATGTCAGGTGTCATGTCTGTCTGTCTGTTCTTTGGGAGAGCAGTACACTGTGTAACACAGAACATTTTCGCTAATGGGGATAGCTTGGTGTTCACCCCTACGTAGACAAGGGTCCATGGCCACAGTTCGCGGGTCATTTGTACATACGGTACTTTATTAACGTCAGCAGAGATAAGGGCCACCATCAAGATGAGTAACTTCTGTCGATCGCTAAAGACATCATTAGAGAATTGCTTGCCAAATTAATTTCCAGCATTTAAGTACTTGCCTGTAACACGTGACCTAAGGAAGAAATGGGTTGCATATCTGTGTATACTAAATGGCTTGCATTGGAAAAAACTGGTGACCTTCTGTTGAAGCGAACTGCTCTTTAGTCTCTCGGGGTAAAAAAATACAGTGATGAACTGAAACCCTCAAGGGATTTTCTCTCATGAACATCAGCTAACTCTCACAAAGAAAAGCAATGGAAAAATGACACCGCTGCTACAGCTGTGAAATAATAGTTTGTAAATCAAAGAAAAGGACAAACTCCTCCACCGTTCCCACTCAGAGAAACCTAGCAGCCTAGGGAAGCCCAGGATCTGTAGGCGGGGTGAAGGATATGTTGCTTGTGGCATTCATCCTGGTCTTAAACACATACAAGGACCTCTTGAAGAAACCCACCATAAGCCAGGCTCCCACTGCAGCTGAACAGATCTCTGCTCAGACCAAGCCAGCCTTGCAGATGCACAGCAGCTGATGATGACCCAGTCCTGCTTACCCCAGGAAAGGAAATATGCCACTAACAGCAGAAGAGAAGTTACACCTTTTCAGCTGACTCATTACCAGAGCAGTCTTTGCCATCAATAGTGCAAACCCCTGAGGCATCTGCAGGCAGCTGGGAGCTGTGCAAAGGAAGAGTAATCTGTAAACACAGCCATCAGACTCAGGGGGATGTAAGAAGGGAGGCCACGAACACCGTAAAACAGATATTTTAGACACAAGGAAACATTGCTTGTTATAAACCATAGGACTGGTCCGTATCTGTGCTGCAGCTGCTGAATTTCTGTTGAGTTGGCAGAGCGTGAAGCCACTGGGGTCCTGCAGGCTCGGTCCCTCTGCCCGAGCCAGCCCTCCTTTTGGGGGATGCACTGCCCTTGTACAAAGCAGTCCACCGTAAAGAGAAATACCAAAAAGGAACTTACTGTTCTATCGGGAACTTCTACATCTGTGAAACAAACATGCTGCTACTCAGTTCATCTACTGATAACTGGGATATCTACAGCAAAAAAAAACAAAGAACACAATACATTAAAACATTGTCTTGAGATTGTGCTGCTCATTCTGTCTTCAGTATCAGGTTAGTAAGTACATCAGTGTCTTATAAAACAGGATCCATTCCCAAGATGTCTTTATTTTGCCACACATTAAGTACAACGTAGCTGCATCACTACTGATGCCTCGTGGAGTATGTGGTGATTGTACTGGGATTTTAACTCCATAGACTACAAGTAAGACAGATATGCCCTGAAACTATCTGGCTGAAACAGGACTCATACAGCCACAGAGCAACACTGCACAGGAATTTCTGCTTTCTTCTCATGACCAATACGAGTATGAGTAAGACCTGCTCTACCTGAAAATAACAACAAAGCACAGAAAAAGACTAGCAATCCCTACTGCAAGCAGTAAAACACTGCCTAGGACTTATGCAGGCAAATATTCTACTGAAAGCCTCGTGACTTCACACTAGCAAAAGACTAGAGGATGCCCCCTGAGATATTACTGACAGTCAGCATGGCTAACAGCCTCCTAAAGAACAAAGTGACACCCCATTTTCTTGGCAATAGCTCTAAACCTGAGAGCATGACAAATAAAAATGCTAAAATTAGTATTGGGGGAAAAATAAAAAAAGTGTTTGAAATGTCTCTGGTCTGACTGGGAAAAGTTGTGGCACACCAAATTATCAGGAAGCATCACTAGGACAGGTTGTGCATATACAGTTCAGGACTGGTGCGGAAGCAGCCATCACAACTCAGTATCTTCAGAGGAAAGTTTTGGAGAGAATTATGGCTCGGCAGACATGCATGAAATCCTGTACACTTATGGCAGTGCTACAACGGCACGTACTGCACATCCAGAATCATTTCTGTAGGGATGGGTGACGTTACTGGCATAAATAAGCTTCAGACTTCATAGCCTCGCCCCTGATTTTTTGGGGTTTGGTTGGTGGTTGGGTTTTTTTGTTTGTTTTTTTGGTTGTTTTTAGAGTCCAATCTTGCAGTGTGGGGAGGCTGCTTTGTGTTTTCACTTCCACTTTCCAGCCAGGAGAGGACATGCCAAAATACCACGGGGAAGGATGCTCAGGGTGGTATTTCTGCTTGAGACTGAAAGCAGAAGTGCTGCAGGTCTTGTGTGACAGTATGGTTGGGAGTTTCACAGCCCATTTTTTCAGGACCCACAGAGGGTGTTGTTTTTTGGAGAAGCGCCTGCACCCCTGCCAATCGCCCATCCCTACGCTCCGGCCAGGCTCGCCGCCCATCCCGCACGTGGCAGGACCGGCCGGTGCCCCCTCACCGATCCCCGGACACGCACACATACACACACACACGCGCGCACACACGCACACGCTGCCTCTGCGCGCCCGAGCCTACGCCAAGCCGAGCGGGTCGGGAAGGCGCTCGGCCCCACGCAGGATCCGGCCCTCGCCCGGTCCTCGAGATCTGAACACGTGAAAGAAAGCCATTGAAAGGGCCAAACCTGATTGGCGGTAGCTGTTGCAGCGAAGGGGACGCTGGTGGCAGGAGTTGTTGCTGCAGACACAGTGGTGGGCGTAGCACCGTGCATCATGGGCACTTTCGGAAGGGAACCATGGAAGCGACATACGGGAGGGTGGAGCGTTTTTTTTTTTTTTTTTTGGTTTTTTTTTAATGTAACCATGGCAACATGTGGTGGATTTGGGGGCGTGGCAGGAATCACAGCAACAAGCCATGTGACATCGTCATGAAGGACACATCGGGGCGCAGCATGCAATCACAGTGCAAAGCAAGACAGCGTTGGGAAAAAAAATAAACAAGAGAGAAGGGGAAAAGCCAATTACAATTATAATTAAGGAAAAAACCAAAACATTCTCAACACTTAGTACATTTATAAGCAGAACAATGATGTATTAGACTCCGAGGGCCAAATTTCCGAAGGGGGGAGAGGGCGGGTGTGCTAGCAAAAGCCCACGTCAGCTCGCACCCGTGGGGAGTTAGACGCAGCCAGTGCACGTTCCTTTGGGTGGGGACATTTTGGCAAGCGCACCCTCCCACCCACCTGGGAAAGCTTGTCCCCTTCCCTCCCCACCCCGTCCCCGCCAGCAACCAGAGGTACATGATGCACTTTGCAGCGGCTGCCGCAGCCCTTTCACTGGGTTTTCTTGCCTCTCTCTAGCAGGGACGATGTTTCGGCATGGGACAGAGCTGGAGGCACAGCATACGAGTGGCTGGCAGCCTGAGCTCTCTCCGTACAAATTCAGCGTGCTTCCTTTCCACCCTAATTCTAGAGGATCTGGCACAATTCCCCTCTTGCGGGGGGGTGGGGGAATAGAGAGGGGAGGGGGCCAAGAGGGGAAAAATACACAAATGCATCTGAACAGCTACAATTTGCAGAAAGAGCATCCAAAAGAACACAGCAGCAGGGAGCTCGGCAGCCTCCTAAAGCTGCATGTCCTGCAGAGCATGGTGCTGGAGGGGATGCTCCTGGGCGCACATGGGCATCCCCCAAACCCGGGGGGGTTTGCGGGGCTGGGGAGCCTGTGAGAAGGCCCGGCCATCCCTGCAAACATGCGGCAGGGAAGCAGGCTTGCCTTCCCCTCCACCCCAGCAGACACGGCCGGCCCCAGCGGGGAGTGTGCATGCCTCCGGGCTGGGCACGCTTCAGCCACAGGACGTTGGAGCGTGTGGGTTGGGGTTTCCTACAGGCAGAGGTGTGTTTGAAGGGCTCAGCTCCCCGTCATGCAAGCGGTGTGTCCTCCCTGCACTATAGGGATGGGGAGGTTCGAGAGCAGAGTGCTTAGCCATTCCTGCCAAAGCTTTCAGACCTGCTCCTTGAAAGCCTTGCACCCTCCCCAGGGCTCCTGCTCCCACCTTCCTCCCTCTGGCTGAAGCCGGCATACACCTGGATGCTGACAGTCTTGTATAACCTTGGTTGGAGGATGAAAGCTCAGCTTTCACCCACCCTGCTGTGCCCAGCAGCTGTAGGCAGAGGGGAAGGTCCCTCAAAGACCTGCACAGGTTCCCAGTGAGACCCAGATGCTGAGCCTGAACATACTGGACCCCTGCAGCAGCAACGAGCGTGTACTCAGCCCTGTCACCTCACTGTATCCCATGTGCACCAGCAGCAGTACCTCCCTACAGCCCCTTGTACCTGCACAGCTGACACTTCACTAAAGTGATGAATCTTCAGCTAGTCCATGGTCTAAGCCCTGCTTCTCTTGCTGTACAAGCAGTGCCCTGCTCTGGCAGAGGGGCTGACCCCAGATGTGTTCCTCCTTAGCGCCTTTATTAAACCAGTCTCCTAAAATGTCCTCAGAAGGACAACCGAAAATCCAAGCTGTAATCCACCTGATGCCCGATACAAAAAATAAACCAACAGGATCCTACCATTGCTATTTCCTTTTGTTGGATAACTTAAATGGATTGTAAAGACATTTAAGTGACAAATTTTTGTTTCTGCAGCAGAACTAAATAGGGGTGGAAACACATCACCTTGGATTCTCTTATTAGTCACACGAAACACTGCACTGAACAGAAATTAGAAGGGATACAACCATTTAAGCCTCAAAGAAGACAGCAGATAGACAGTCACACCACTCAGCCACCCAGGTTCTCACTGATGCATACTAACTTGCTGTCTCTTTCAGATTAGGAAAAGTTGAGAAGTTTGTGTAGAAAAACCTACCAACGCTTGCAGTGGGTGTCATGCACAGAACTGACCCTGCACACCATGCATTGAAGCGTGGAAAGATGAACAAAAGGGATATTTCATTAGTGAAGCTTCAGTGTTAGAAATCACTTTAACTAAAAAGCAGGTATTCTCTTTGCAGCATTCAGTATTTAAGCACATGCAAACAGATTCTGCATATTGGTACATAAATAGTTTAAACTCAGTTTTAAGAGATCATAGCAAACCAAATTAATTCTTGAATTCTTGGGTAGTAGAGAATATATTTCTTCTACCACCCTGATATTAAATTATATGATCTATCCTAGAAATCAGGGTTGTTTTGGTATTGGGTTATGTTGATTTCTTTCTGATCATGTCAGCAGAAAACAAATTGCCCTTAGAGGAACGTCACACTCATGTTAAAACCGACTTTCCAAAAGCAATTTACTCCTGCAAGCAGGGACCAGGATTCAAAGTCTCTAGTTTAAGCTGAAAGAGGCAGTTTTTTCTGGGCTTGAAACAATTGTAGTGATGATGCCATTTTCAATAGACATCCTGACTTTCCCCCCCATGGCAACCCACAATGCTGATCTCTCAATAACTGAACAGAAGAAACTAAGAAAAGCAACAGCTCGCTTCCCCTCCCCACGGTGTGAGCTACTACGTGCCACTTCTCTGCTTCGCTTTCCAGACAACTGCAAAGACTGAGACCAGATCTGCAGTCTGATGCATAAGGGAAAACAGGGATGCATAACGTAAATTCATCAGAGATCCGTCCCCTGACTGGAAATTTGCTGCTCTGACCAGCATTAATGTCCTCAGACGAGAGCAGGTGCCAGCAAATAGACCTGTTACGCATCAGCCCTGCACGTAATTTCATTGCCATGAGACAGGGCACAACAGCACAATGAGAGTGCTGGGTAAAAGCTAATTTATGGTGCTTGCACCAGAAATACATGTCCTTATGTCAACTTTGGCAACTGCGACCTCAAGGAAGAGGAGCGTGTAGCCAGCTGGGAGACTTGGCATTCTCAAAGGTGTCAGTGTTTCCTGAAGAAGTATTTCGGTTGGCACATTAACAGAGTTGTGGTAAGGTCAGCTCAGCCGATCCCCTCCAAGAGCACTTTGCAGAGCAGACGGCTACTACTCGAGTCCCTCCCTCCGTCTCTCCATACAAGACTCCACTTCCCTGGAAGAACATCTTGGCGGCTGCTGAGTTCTGAGTGCCTCCAAGTGCCCTCATAACAGAAACGCCACACAAGCACAGGGTTTAGGTCCCAGCTCTCTGGACCCATGCTCACACCTGAGGCAGTTTGGTCTCAGTATAGGACTGTCTCTAAAGCTTTTCCCCTGACCCCAAGGAACAGCAAGGCCAAGGTCCAGGTTCACTGTGTGTTCACCTTGAGGGGCCAGCCCAGAGAAACACTTTGTATGTTTTCATAAATATCATCTGGCAAGTGAATACAGCATTAAACATTAAAAACATTGGGCGTTTGTTTTCTTATGATGCTCTGCAATGATAATAACGATACTAAAAAACAACCTATCAGCTCTGGAATATTCCTAATTCAGCCACTTATAATACTTACTACTCTAAGCAGGTTTTGTTTTTCATTTGGCTGCAGGAATAGAGGTTAATTGGCTAGTCAGCAGTCACTTCTGCCACATCAATATTTTGAGTCCTGTATGAATTACTGAACTGCATCTTTCAATTTTACTCCGAGACCTTAAAGGTAGAATAAAAGCTGGGAGTTAAATTGCTTTTAAAAAGCTTAGGCTATCGTACTGGTCAAAAGACAAGCAAGAGGGAAATATATGCCTTTAAAGAGGATTATATAATTTGTATTTACTAAAGACGAACCATTCCCTCCATAAACATCATGGCTGCTGGAATATGTAGGTCACTGAGATAGAAGCTCAGAAAGATACCTGCACCTTCAAGCGAGCAGGCATAGAGGTCCACAAGACATTTTAACATGAGTCTGTGAGAGTGCTATGTAAGAGTCAAAGAATTAATTTGGGATTAACCAGTTGAACCATAAGGAGGAGAAACAGAAAGTATGAATTCAAGAAACATGCAGACATTTTTCTTAGTTCGACCACTTAAAAAAACCCAAAACCAAACAAAAAAGGCTAAGAAGGGATCTTTACAAGTAAAAAGCTCTGAATTGTAGTAGGTGAAGGAAAAAAAAGTCAAACAACAAACGTTAACTTTTCATCCATTTTTAACATGAAACTACACACTGATACTCTTTTGCTAAGGACCCTTACAAATCTGCTCATTAGCTCAATGCCTAGGTCATAAAAAAAGACAACTATGATGCTGAGGAAAGCAAGAAGACACTTACCTGTAGGGATGAATGTAGGCTGTTGCAACTGCATGTTGGCTAGAGCCTGTTGGTAGTGGAAAACGCTTGGGTTAAAGACTGTGGTGGCACCATTGTTTTTTTCAAGTGCTGGCCTCTTTGGTAAAGGTTGAAGTGCACCAGGCGGCAGGGCCTGTGGATAAGGGAGTCATTAAAGACAAGTGGAGTAAAAAAAGGGGCCCACATGTAGATCAAGCATGCAATAAATAATAGGGGGTCTTGGCTGCAAATCACCTGCAATTTTATCAACTTAGCGAGACAGGAAAGAGAAGAGCAGCTAAATCACAGTAGAAGTAGTAGGTGAAACCACAACTTCACTAGGTAAGCAGTTAGTAAATGCACCAAGAGAAGGGGCAGAGTCCAGAAGGAGGAGGGATGCTAAGGGACCTTTTCAGCAGGACTGACTTGGGCACAGAGGAAAAAAAAAGCATAAGGAGAAGAAAGGGGAGAGGTAATCACCTGGACAGGATACTATGAAGAACAGTTGCAGGCAACAAGCATTTAAAAAAAAAATACCAGGTGAGAGAAATATAGTAGATGACTATTTAAAAACACAAAGATTAGCATAAGCAACAAATGCCAAGGAAAAAAGGGATGCTTGCCTCTGCCTGTTTCAACACCTGCCTACATGTATGTGTGCACACGTGGAAGCGTGCACACTTGTGTGCAGCCGCGCCATGTGTCCAGGTGATAAAGCAGTAGCTGTTGCCAATTACACGCATAACGTTACATTCATAGTAAAACGCATTTCCACTTGTTAGTATAGAGGCTGAGCAACATGGTCAACAACAGGCCTGATTCTCCGCCTCTCACACTGGCGGCACAACTCACCACCAGCAGATTTGGACTTCCTCCCAGTTTCTAGAAGGTGGCCTCCAACAGTTAAATACTGCTCACTCATTATTAACAGTGGAAAAAGCCATTGACAAATCTGGTGTTCGAACAGATTTGGGTGGGCCTTGCTATCAGGCAAATCCCCTCTTTTTGTTCTATCATACCACCAAGCTTCTTCCAGCCCGTCAAACCTGTTTCATGATCAGACTTGGTAAAAAGCATTAACCCAACTCAGGAACTTTTCTCAGTGAGTTACTCATCATTCACCCAAGCATGTCTCAACAGCAAAGTAGTATGTCAGGTTCGTAGGAGACAGGAATGTTTCTAATGATTTACAGCTTTTCATTGTACCCAAGTAGAAACCACATTTTTTTCTCCACGTTGTGATAGAAAAGGGTCCTTTTTAATTATGCCCTGCAGTCCTTTTTGCACGTAATGCTCCCATTGACGTCAATGAGATTCACGCACGTGGAAGTCATGCAGAATCAGGTCATTTCTGCCTAGTTGTTAGTCTACCATGTAGCAAAGCAATGGCTTAAAAATAGGGTTATCGCTCCTATTTTTTTTCTTTAATAGGTGACAGTGAAGAGTGGGTAATGGAGGAGGTTTAGCTAATGAAGGGTTAAGGCTACAAACACACAGTACTCGGAAGAAAGGACACAAGTAAAGAGATTTTAAAGCGTTATGAAGATCAGCACACAACAGAATATAAATGAAAGCTTGCAACAGTTTGTTACCATCTAGAAACAGGTTTCACTTTAAATTTAACTTGCTATAGGAGACTGCTCATCGAGAAATGTTAAGCAAGATACTTCCAGGCAAAACATTAGTCCATTCTATTCACATGGTGGCTTTTGGGTGGTTTTAATATTAAAAAAAGAAAATTAGAAGAAGAAATTGCATTTGCAAAACTGCCCTCAGACATGCACACATCCTCTGCTAATGCTAGCAGGCATCCAGAGCCAGCACTAGGACTTAATCATTCCAGATTTCTTCTGGCTAGTACCAAAAGACAACAGTGAAACACGGGACAACATTCTCAGAAACAGACACCAAAATCTTTTGCTTAAGATCAGTATTTTACTATGAGGTCTTTTAGGTAAAGATCTAAGAGTTTCCATTTCTAGGTAAGCCCTCATTGATATCTATGTTAAATCTGACTGTATCTACATCTTGTCTATTTAATGACAGCTATATGAATGTTCCTCCAGGCATGGGACAGATCTGCAGCTTGCAAAGACTGGAGTAGCTCCACGTACATCAGAGGTGTTTTACAGATTTGCAGTGACTGAAGAATTTGCCGCTTAAATTCACGTTCCTTACTGTGCCTGATTGCTAAACATTCTTTTTCAGACGCTTCCAAAATCTGCCTCAAAAAAAAAATTTACTAATTATAGCAAAGCAACTGTGCCAGGCACATAATGGACTTTTGACTCCTTGCTTCTTGGCCAAAGGCTGTCACCACCCCGAAAATCCCATTATCCCATAATGGCAGTGCCAAAAGCAGAACAGCTGAAGGCTTTGAGACCTTGCCGTGATGTGCTGGCTCTTTACAGGATGATTCCTGAGCCCAGCATTGCAGTCAGAGGGAGCATACAAACACCAACAGGCCATGGGGATGTCAAGGCACACCAGACTACCCCATCGTCTCTCTAACATCACTCTTCCTCCTACCCTGCTACAGCCCCTTGGGAGCAAGGGAGAGAAAGGAGCTACGGCAGTCCCGCTACTGCTCCCTGAACAGCAGCTGGGTGGAGAAACCCAAATAAACGTAGCATTTCCAGCATCCTCTAAAGGAACAAGCACACTGTAGCAGCTGCTGTGCAGCCTGAAGGCCGGCTCTGCCACGTGGGCTCTGGGCACAGGAGCCAGGAGCCCGTCTCGGTCTGCTTCTGGTTTGACACAGCCTTCTGGGTCACCTCTCCCATCCCAGCAGCTGGGGGAGCATTCGTACAGGAGCATGCCCTGAAGAGGTGCTCCTCCTGTTGCCAACCTATCTTATTTTAGATAGAGAGGTGCAGGAAGGCCCACGAGGACAGAAGGATGTGGCTTCACCACTTCTCCAGTCCTTGTGTTGAGGTAAGAGCCCCAAGCCAGGAGCACACTCACTGAAAGGTCGATTTACAAATGCCCAGGAAAGCTGTCTAAAATTGCACGTGATGAAGTTGGACCAATACAGCTCCTGCACAGGGATCTGGCAGCGACACAGGAGCAAAAAACTGTGTCTCATTTGAAACAGGCCAGAATTTTTTTATCGGTCTTGGGACCTCCAGGAATTACAACAGCTCATAGGGATACAACTTTTCTGTCTTGCACCATGTCCTGATTCTGAAGAAGTCCCCCAAGCGTGTCCTGCAGCACCTACAAATGGCAATAATCTCAGCACTTTTTGACCTTACTGAATTCTGTAGCAAGTGCCTCCCTGCTGCAGGATGGGAGCTGGACTAAACCCTTGTAGCAAAGAACTTACTTGGTGAGTTCGTCTCATCCTGCTGTTTGTGATTTCCCTCTGGACAAGCTCTGACCATCACAGATGTAGCGGTAGCCTTTGGCAGTAACTTTTTCCGACTATTTTTTGCCTGTGTGTTTGTGTGCACACATGGGTATGCAACCTATGCAACATGATCAGACCACCTGCACTGGTGAAAGGGTTAATTCAGTTCAGCATCCATGTGCTAGTCTGCACTGATCCCAATGAACAATTCCCACCATAAAAATGCTAGGCAGCCTCCCATTTTTGGGCTGGGAAAGCCACATTCCTGCTGGAACACGAGCATCTGAACAAAAAGGTTTGTGCCGCTTTTCTGCATGACATGGAAAGCAATCTTTCAGCATGACTGACAGATAAAAACGCGCTGCCAAAGTCAAAATTTCCCACGTGCTGGTTAACAACACTCTCTTGTTATTTTTTGCAAGACAAGAACTGGATTAAATCTTTGCAACAAACAATTTAATTGCACCTCAAAGTTCCCCTCAGATCGCTATCTCCTGGGAGCAGATCACACTTTCACCCCTTTGCCACTTAGCAAAGAGGGGCTGGGTCTGCATCTGGCTTGCTGTTTCACTCCAAGGCATGACAAATACAAAATGATCTGAGAGAGGGCAGAGGTAGCGCCCATTCTCTGACAAGCAGCAGAAGCAATCTGAGCAGTTTTCTCTGAAGATTACACATGCTTTTATCACCACCGTGAATCCTTCTCTGGTGCAGCCTTCCCAAAGGGTTCAGAGGAGGTGACGTATTCCAACAACGTGGTTGCATCTGGTTCAGATGTTTTAGAGCAGGAAGACTATTAAAAGTAACTTATCTGATGGGGTTTTGTTCAGTGGGGGAGGTTAGGAAGGTAGGGGAGTTAAAGGGCTTTTCCTATTCTCTGCCAGACCACATCTCCTCAGAGAGGTGGCTCTTGGAGAGGGCAGCGAGGCACGGTGTAGGTCACTGCCTGCGCTGGCTTTGGGGCTGCGTCCGTGCCAGCCGTGAGCAGCGGGGAGTGAGAGGCTGTTATGTCATTTACAGTGTAATTCCATGACTGCTGGTGGAAGCTGGTCCCTAGCAAAGTTTCCTACTGCTGCTGCCTAAAACAAGCCTCTTCACTGCTTAAAAAAAACCCTTCAGAGGGGAACGGATCAGTCTCTGCTTCTTAGCTCTGGGAATGAGGAGAAACACTAGCTTGAAGGTTTCAGGGCTCCTCTGTGTCCACTCTTCCCTTTCCCCTGCTACAGTGGGGCGACAGGAGCTGGTTTTTTTTTTATGAAGTATTGGATCCCTCGTTATTTGGGGTGAATGGGAAGGAGTTGTCTTCTATGGAGCCAGGACTGACAGTAGACTGGGAGGATGGCTTTTTCCTTGCTATGAGTGTCATGAAAACAGGTAAAACATATTTGAGACTCAGAAAATAATCAAAGGTAGCTTATAGGAAGACACCTTGCAGATAGAAGCCTGGGGAGCAGCTTCTGTGCCTGAAACTGAAGCAAAAGGCACCCAGAGCGAGGTCCCTTTGCTGACACTGTCCCACTGGGGGGTTTGGGGGGAGGAACCAGAGACAGAGTGAGCTGCAGTGGCAGCCATCTCCCCAACTTACTGAACATGCCACCAAAGTCCTGTACTGCACCTGCTTCAGCTCCCAGCACAGATCTCTGAGGGTGCTGCTTAGCTCTCTCCCTCCTAAATTTGAGTTGTGCCCACAGCACAGACCACCCTTCTGCAGGGCAGTACCCGCATAACACTGCCAGGCAAGGCTGTGCTCTTGGGCATACCACGAAAAGTTGCGGGATCTGTCCTGTGCCACCCAGTCCCCTGGCATATCCAAGCACACTGCAAACCTGATGAGTTAAATTCTCACCGAAACATCGCATCTCATGACTCCAGAGCTGCCACTGTTTGGAAAAACACTTCAAAACCCAGAGCTGCCTCCCCCCAAGGTTATTCACTGCCTCCAAAACACATCCAGGCTTCAGGAGGCAAAGCTCAGACAGTTAATGGATGGCGTGTGGGGCACAGGATTGGCATGTCTGAACGCACACTGCAACATTTCTGGCCGGGATGGGCAGTCTCCGCAGGCACAAACACAACAGACCAAGTGCAGAAGGCTTTCATGCAGACTAAGATGGTTACGTGCAAAGCGAGAAGGTGAAAGGTCCAAGTACCAGGTCAAAGGTTGCCTCCAGCGGTCGCTTCAGTGATCTGACAGCTGGCTGAGTCTTAATTAGCAGGCAGCGAGCACATGATGGCAATGGGCCAGGGAGGGGGGATCAAGCACAGTAACAAAAACAGCAAGCAAGGTATGTCGAGAGAGCAACATTTTGGGGAGGCGAAGAGAAAAAAAAAAAGTGAATGCATTATACAATATATTATAAAAAGACGAGGCATGCACAACGTGGGGTGGCTGAGTAATTACCTGGCCTAGCGGCTAGTCAGCTATTTTGCCTCTGTCATCATGGGACACGTGCTTTAGAGCATATTCACTGCAGCTGGCACAGCGGGTCAGGAGCGCTCAGGGATTAGCACCTGCAAGTGGACTTGCACTGGGCTTCAGCCCTAATTCTGCAGCTACATGCCATGCAGAGGTCAGCAAGAGCACTTGTGGCAAGGGAAGGACCACCGGTAAAGAAGGGGTGTTCAAGCACATGCTTAAGTGCCATCCTGAACTGGGGACTGAGCCTGACCCAGTTCATCTGACTGTGCTGCACTGATTTCAGCTAAGCAGGAGTGAGTAAAGCTACTGATTGTGCATGTCAAGTAACTGCAGGAGTGGGTCCCTCAGAAATATCTTCTGAATTTAGATTTGAAGTCATTCCAAATCTATTTTAGAAGGTACACCCATTTGTCTGGCATATGTTTTTTGATCCAAGAAAACTGGGCACCATTCTTCCCTTTATTAAAGTCTTAGTCCTCAACAGGTACAGTAAATGCATCAAGCCTTGAAAAGTAAATGAATAATGTAAGCTGTTTTGGTAGCAGTGGTGATGCAACAAGCCATCAATAAATATTTTAAAGGTTCTAGTTAACAGCATACAAATAAGGTTAATTACATTTTTAAAAGAAGCCAGCAGCATGAATAAAACATGCACTGGCTTTGGTTAAGTAGCAGTGTCCTAGATAATTAGTAAAAAAGTAAAAATTCAGTTGTAAAAAACACAAGAGTTTCATTTCAGAAGGTTCTTTTTCAACAGACCTGGGCTCTTTTTTCAACAGTAATAAAACCAGTAAGAAATCTAAAAAATAAACTCTGCAGGACAAATAAATACTGCAGTATGAACTGGTTCTTCAAATTACATTTGGGTAATACTGATGGTATAAGGAGGGCAGTTGTTTAATTTCTAGAATCATCCTCGTTTTGATTATGTTTCACCATGAATGAAAAGCAACCTCTTTTACTGTCTTAAAAAAAAAAAAAAGGTTTCAGAAAAATTTTAGTAGCCTTACTTCTAAACCAAAAAGGAGGCAAGAACCTTTTTAATACTAGTTAAAAAAAAAAAAAAGAAAAAAAATCACAGAACAGATGAGGTTGGAAGGGACCTCTGGAGATCATATCTAGACCAACACCCTGCTGAAAGCAGGGTCAGGTAGAGCAGCTTGCTCAGGACTGTGTCCAGGCAGGTTCTGAGTATCTCCAAGGATGGAGCAACCTGTTGCAGTGTTTGATCACCTTCATGGTAAGGAAGTTTTTTCTTATGTTTAAATGGAATTTCCTGAATTTTCAATTTGTGCCCACTGCCTCTTGTCCTTTCACTGGGCACCACAGAGAAGAGTCTGCCTCTGTCTTCTTTACTTCTCCCATCAGGAATTTATATACATAGGTAAGATCTCCCTGGGCCTCTTCTTCCCTCCCCAGGCTGAACATCCCAGCTCTCATCTCTGGAATAAATAGGTGCCATTAGACTGAATTCAACAGAATAGCAACATTTACTCCAGCTAGGAATTTTATCTGGTAAGTCTTCCTTGACTTGTTTTTAGAATTGTAGGTATTAAAAGTCACAATTCAAGTTAAAATGCAGGTGGGATCATCTCTACCAGGTCCAAAGTATTGAACAGGTCAGGAAGTCACCCTTCATCTGAGTCTCACCGTTTCACTAAGCCTTGGCAAAGGTATCAGGCACAAGTTTGCTAAGCTCGAACAACTGGTATCTGGTCTGCTTTTAAGTCAGTAGAGATTTTGCTACTGACTTCAACAGGCCAGGATCTCCTGCAAAGGATGTATTATGGGATAGGCAGTCTTTTCTTTCGTTGTGTACTGAGGAAGCTAAACTGACACCTGCGACTTAGCCAGGGAAGGTGTTGGTTCCAAGTGCTGCTGTACTTGCATTCATGTCACGTCATGATGACACGTCAGAAAATCACAGGACTCGCCACCATGTCCCTAACTGGCGAGATGTGCGGCACCACTCAGGGATTCATGCTGTGGTGAGCACATAGAAATAGAAAGGATGAAAAGATGGGATCCATATTGCACATGCTCTCAGGTTTCTAGTCAGCCATTTACAAAGCACTCTACTTTTCCACAAACAACATGTGACACAAATGAAATCTCCTAGCAATGGAAATACAGCTTGAGAAGAGCTCTACTTACCATTGCAGCTGCAGCTGTCTGGTTCACCTGGTGTTGAGCTGCCTTGATTTTGGCTTGCAGGTGTGCAGGGGGATGAAAGTACTTGCATTTCTCCCTAGAGCATCGACCTTTGATGTAATCCATGCAAACTGTAACAGTATTTTCATTTGTGTCTATCATTGCAATATCTATAGGGTGAGCATAGCGGCAATCATTCTCACCACGTGTGCAATTTCCACGCTGAAACTCTCGACAAACCTTAAAAGAAAGTCACATTGTTGAGCAAAACATCAAGTTATTCTTCATTCAGTATTTTCAACACAGAATATCAGTTCAGTTGGCCACATTAAACCATGTGTGCATTCTAAATCCATACTCATCTTGGGTAGCACATGTACCAACAGTCACAGGGGCAACTGGTGCTACTCACAACTGGTTCAAGGTATGAAAAAAACTACATTACCAAGGCCAATTACCTAATGGAAGTGAAGTATAGAATTTGTGCAGAATGCAAAGTGACCCCAGGAAGTCAGTGTTGTTTTGCCAAAACTTTTGGAGCTCAGGATTCCTCCCCTGCCTCTAAAGCTTAAATGTTAATAACTCTGCCATTTGTGTCTCACCTGGATAATGTATTTGTTATGGAGCACACACTTGGGTAGGACATTTAATTCTAAATGTTGCATGCTGCTGTTATTTGCAACAAGTACCTTTTCTTAAACAAGGAGCCTCTTTCACATAAATAGTCTCACTGCCCTCCACAATAAAACTCCAACCCTGGGGTTACATGACAGTGCATTTGATTACACTGCAACGTGTTCGTAAGATGTTGCCAAAAACGGCTAGCTTTACAAAGATCTTGCAGATCTTCCTAAGTTATGACCACCGAAGCATCAAAGGTAGAGAAAAAGGTATCACAAAATAGGTCTGCAAGGTTTCCTTGTCTGAGGAACTGAGAAAAATTGCTGAGGACTATAGCTGGTGGTATAGATCACGTACCAGTGCACTATCAGGCTGAGTGTGGGGAAAGGTGAGACATCAACAAGGCAATACAAAGTACATAACACAAAACAACGTGTTTTGAAATTACACCCTTCTCCACTACCTTCCTGTGTTATAATTTACACCTGCAGGGGCCTCTGAATTCAGGTCCTCAGCCCTTACCTCCTGCGGAGCCTCTACTTAGGGTTTGAAAGACATTTACAATTCCTCCAACACTAAGTCCCAGCATGCCCAGCCAACGTGGGGGGAGGAGACATCTTTCCAATGCCCCATACTCACCACTCCCAACAGTGTAATGCTTAAAGCTTTCTGTAAAAGCTCAGTAAGCCCATCACTAGACAAGGAAAGTGTCTGTTACTTCCAAAACATCTCCCACTCAACTCAGTGAAAGGGTAGACCATCTACTTGCATTTTTTTAAGTGTGGCAGATCACACACAGAAAACAACAATCCCAGCCCTGCTCTAATGCCCACTGAAATCAGAAGAGTGAGTGCTCCCAAATTTCCAGTGACTTCCAAGGATTTGGGATCAGGTCCCACATGAGAGTCTGCTCAAGCAGAGAGCAGCAGCCCTGTGTTAGGAAAGCTGCAAGTTAAACTCTGCACTGTGGTGCACCAGGTCATTCTAGCAGAGAGCAACAGCTGGGACCACATGTCCTGTTCATTCCCATCAGCAGTATCATATCAGACGTCCAAATACCTCCAGTTTATCCGTACGCATCAGTTTCTGCCCAGCAGAGCCTCCTGGTACTGTAACAGTAGGATTTCCGGAAACCAGGACAGGAGTATTTGGTAAAAGCTCTGCAGGAACCAAGCCCATCCCAGGAGAAACGTGACTCAGGTAGGGACTAAAAGCCATCGTGGGACTTGTTGCAAGCGATGGAGTCACAGGAAACGTTGTCTGTGGATAGAAAGAGGAAAAACAAAATATTAGTTAAAAAGCTGTCTTGGATTACCCCTCAAAGCCTTGCATCATTTCAATCCTTTTAGACAATTTGATTAGCAACATCAAAATGCTGTGCTCTCCAATCTATTCATTTATTGCCGTTTACTTGTGATCCATTTGCTTCTCCTGACTCACAGATTTGTGACTCATCCTGAACACAAGGCATCTTTCTTTGTCAGATCAAAGCATATTGATGATCTTTATAGTTTAATGACACAATTAAGGATTTCATGCTAGCAATTAGGGCAGGCCCAAATTAAACAGACTTCTCATTCCCAAATAAATGTCTCAGCTTCTCTATGTCTACACCGCAATGCTATACAGAAACCCCCAAGGTAAACTGCAGCTTCAGGACCTGGAAGCAGGTAACCCCATTAGCTACATGGCTGAATTCACTATCAGCCTGCACCGAGCTTCATGTTATCATGGCTAGTGTGGCTCAGGTAGACAAAAGCAATCATTTAGAGTCAGGCCAGGCATCTCTGCTATGGCACGCTTGAAGGTCTAGCATTCTGCCCATCTGGGGTTTGTTTCAAGACTATCAACAACCTCTGGGCAAAAGCCATTTTGCAGGAGTACCCCAAGCCTATGCTCCACGTGAATGGCAGCAAGAGGACACCAAACTCACTAGTGTCACATGTGCCAGACCTCGTGGCTTTGGCAAAAGCAGGTGGGTCATGGGCTTGGAAGAGCCATGGACAGAGTGTTCCAGATGAGATGGCTCAGGTGGGCCAGTACAAGGTCTAGGACCCCACCTGTGCTGCAAGAAGCAACGTTCCCATGAGGAGACAGAACAATGAGCCTTAAAGATCTTGACGGCTTCAGATCCCTAAATCACATTAAGCAGGCTCTCCAAGCGCAGCAGAGCTTCAGCGCTGGTGGCCAGAGCCACGTCCCCAGCCTGAACTGCTCCAGCAGTGCTGGTCTGGGAAAGGAGCTGCCGTTCTGCCAGGCAGGTGAGATCACACAAAGCTCCTAAGCAGATGCTCAGTTTAAAGTCTGTGAATAGCCCCTACAGCCAGGGAGGTTGTGATACTGAAGCACCAAATCAGAGGTGTAATTGGGAATGAAACCAATTCCAGCTGTTGAAATATCCCCCCTGCTCACCCCAAAGACCAGAGCCTGCAAGGCAGCACTCCTGCTCCTGTAGCAGGGGCTCGAGCAGCCCCCAACAGAAGCAGCCTGCAACTTGCAACCATTTTTATTTTTCCTTCTGTCACCTGCTCCATTAGGAACTCTGGGTTACAGTTACAGCTGGTCACGTTTGCAGGCATATGTGATGACCTCCTCAGTTGCTACAGCCTCTGCTTGGCAATAAATGCAAGTGTGCTTACAAAATGGCCTGGGGCGTTTTTTTGGGCCACACACATCATTCCCTCCTTGCTTTTATTTTGGTACTTCTAGTCGTGTGGGTTTCTAAAAGAAACTACGCATGGACAGTGTGTTTCTTGACAGCATCTTCATCCCAAGACTTTAATACACTAGGAAACACTTTGCTTGTTGCAATCTGGAAGAAGCTAGCCCGCAGTAACACCAGCCAAGCTGTCCTAACCTATCTTTAGCTTAATGATGCCCCCTTCCTAAGGTCAGAGTGACAGCAAGCAGCTCCTGAGCTGATGAGAAAGGAGATGACAGGTCGCTGCCAGCATACGTCCTGCTTTCTCCTCCTCAACGAGGAGACACGGCCTCCTGCATCAGCAGTGCTGGGTGCTTTAAGTGTAGCAGAACCAAATAATCCTCTCTGGGAGGGATTTCCAATTTTCCTTCTTCTGAGTCTGAGTCAAGCCCTGCTTCAGCTGATGGGAGACTTCAACCATTAAAACCCAGAGATCCTCCAGTCCATGGCCCTTTATTAAATCATTATCTTCTCTCAATTCTCTGTGGCTCCTAGACATTTTACACCTTTTGCTGCTAGAAAAGCTCTTTAAGGATCTTCAAATGCTGTGACTCCCTGAACACTTTAGTGAGAAGGCAGCATCCATTAGACTGTTTTCTTTTGTGTGAGCACTAGTAATTACAGTGGCATCTGCTGAACTTCTGTCACTACTCACACTGTAAATGCTATTTTAAGGAGCTTCTCCAGCCTGACCAGTCTGCACAGGGTCATGCTGGGGCCTGACATGTTGTCAGCACTTGTTTTACGTACCCATTGTAGCCCAAACCTTGCAGCACATGCGGCTTGCAGAAATGCGTGGGCAAATCTACCCTATGTTTTTCCAGCACCTAATACGGCAGGAGTCCTGCGTATCCTGACAGAGCAGGTGTGACACAGACATTGTTCCAAAATTTCAGGAGATCCTTTAAAGCAGGCTTCACCTGCCTGGGCTCAAACACAACCAGGAGCCAGCCCAAGGACCTAGCTGGTTTCTGAGATAGAGGGGAGATGTTCCTCCCACTGGTCAAGTGGAGGATGCCAGAGCATTTGTGCAGCCAGGGAGGAAGGCTGGAGTCTTGCAACACCTCACACTGAGTGAATTCACCAGAAATCAGTGGGAAGGGGTACAAAACATTCACGAAGAGATGATATACCAGCCTCTCCACCAAAGCCATGACAAACTGGGAGGCAGGTCCTGCTGCCTGTAACAGTCTCCATCTACAAGGCAATTCCTTAAAAGCAGCCCCTCTCCTCACTGGGAGCAATCGGCAAGGGCTAACAGATCCAAACCCAAGCTGAAGCGAGCAGAGGAAAGATGTCCATGAGGAACAATTGAGGACTACAGTCTACTTGCAATCCTGGAGACCTGCAGAGGGGTACGTGAAGGAGCAGGATGGGGTTTTATTGCTGCCACTGGTTGTTCACCCATTTCCATGCCCTAGCATCTGCTGCTGTGTTCCCGAGGTTTCACAACTGCTTCTTCTGCCCGCCTGAACTGTGTGCCTGGTGCCACTGATTGAAAGTGACAGCTCTGCTCCACACCCTGCCCGCAGGCAGGGGACTGACACTCAGGCAGCCAGGCAGGCGTTTTCAGCAGATGCACAGCCAGAGAACAAGCAGACCTCACTCAACACATTAAACCTGGAAGTGCTGGGGTTTGAAGTCTGAAGTGTGCTAAGCGCACTGAAAACTGCTCCTTTGTAAGCTGGCATCAGGGAGCTCTGTATTTATTGTGGCTGATGAGGGGAAAAGATGGGCTGCGCTCATTGCCAGCCCTGACTGCCTGTCTTGGATTGGGAAATCCAGTCTGGCTTGTGCATCAGTACCAGTAATAAAGATGCTGCCAGCCAAATCTCTCCTCCCTTTACGTCTGTGCAAGTCCCCCATGCCAGGCCTGTCCTGAGGGAATCTGAGTGAGTTTCTTCCTTGCAGCCAGAATCCAACTCTAATTTTTACTCCAAACAGCACTGTTCTCCTCAACATGCCTCCCATTCACCTCTTGTGATTACACCCAGCCAGGAGACCTGACAGATCAATATTATGACTGTATCCTAAAAAAAAAAAAAGTCTCAACTTAGCTGCTGGTGCGCTCTAGGGCAAAACAGAGGGATTGAAAGTATCACTACTTACCCCTGCTGGCCCCCTTAAAGCTCTTGCAAATTCAGGAAATAGAGGGGCAGGTTTCCTTGCAAACTAACTTTTATTGACCGTAGCATATGCAGACACTACCAGTTACTCCTGAGCAGAGGAAAACAGGTTACAGTGCAGCAGCAGAGGGGTTCAGACTGGTAGGAGCTCACAAGACTGGTTTACTGAGTATTAAAATCTTTGTAAGAATAAATAAATAAAAAAAAAAAAAGCAGCAGCTGAAATGGCTGTTGTGAGAACACATCTTGCAGGAGGGCTGCCAAGGACTTCAACAGCTCTGAGCTGCCCACAGACCCCAAGCATGGGAGCTGTTGGATTGAAGGTGTGAGCAGTGAGAAGGGACTGTCCCAGGGAGGGGCATTTGTCACCACTGCTGGTGACAGAACCTGTAACAGCTGATTTTGTTAACAAACTAGAAGTTGCATTCAATTTGCCTGGCAGAAATTGTGCTAAAGCTAGAGAAGAAACACAGAGTGGGTGTGAAGAGGAAGGCAGATGAGCGGCTGGTGTTTTGTCGAACACAAGCGCTGTCTCAGCCGGGAAGTGTTGATTCTGAGTTACCTCAGATCCTAAAAAGGGAAAGCCTGAAAATGAGACCCCCAGCAAAAATACAGAGGTGTTGATGGCCTGAAGGAGGGGAAACAGGTCACTGCCAAGCAGCTACACATGGAAAGCACACAAAAAACAGTGGCAGCTTTTATTACAGTCTGGTGAGAGAAACGTAGAAGATAAAGATCTTGTACTGACAAGGCTGAAGACCCTGATATTGAAAACATAATTGATGCTGCTCAGAAAAAGCAAAAACCTGTGTTCCCCTCCAATGCAACTGCATGGGGCTGGCTGTAAAAACACCTCTCTAACATGATGGCTGAGCACGCTGGAGTGAGTCCAAGCGGCCAAAGCATCCAGCTACCTACCACCACAGATGCTCGTTTCCCCAATCAGACTGCAAAGACACACTCATCGCTCAAAGGATATCTCATTTTTGGGCTGCTGTAGTGTAAAAGTCAGGTGTTAATGCCCCACAGCACTGTGTCTTGGCAGACAGCAGCTCCCGGGTGGGCCAGGGTACATGTGTTTATTCATTCCTAGTGTGCCTTTGACTGGAGGCTAAGATATAGATCAGGTTTTTGCTGCATGGAACAAATGCATGCCCAAAACACCTGTTGAAATCTGCTCCAGCACTTGTTCCAAGCATCACTGGCCAAGCAAGTTGCTCACCCTGTGCTTTAACCCCTCCATCAGCACCAAGGGGTGGCAGCAGGGTCCTGCTGCCCCAGGAGGGAATGCACGGCTGTGTTAGAGTCCGGGTTGTCTTCAGGGACATGGGTGACTCAGAGCTGTCAAGACAGTCCTGGCTACAAATACCTTGACAGGAAGAAAAGATGAAGAGCTTGAAAACAAAGAGAGGGGAAACAATTTCCCAGAGCAGCAGCAGAGGCAGCTGCAGGGCAGGAGTGGAGGCAGGTGTGTCAACACTGCCATGCTCTATCCAACTGCCTGTTCAGACACAGCTAGCAGGGCAGCACCACGCAAGCCACTGCCCCGCTCCACCAGGTCAATTTGGAGCCTGTGCTGAAGCACCTCCAACGGCCAGCTCCAAAAGTCCGTCTCTCACTGCTGCAAAGGGATAAAGCAGAATAGAGAGTGTGTGGATCAGGCCCGGGGTGCAGCACTTTTTGGGTGGCCTTGCTTTGGCGCACACAGGGCTCAGAGTGACCATATCTGAGAAACCAGACACAGCATTGACCAAAATGGCTCTTTGTATCGATGCCAGATCCAGCTCTATCCACCTTCAACCTGACTTTTATGCAGTCTTAACAGAGACAGAGGCAAAACCAGCCCAGAGAGCTTTGAGCACAGCTCAACCAAAGCCAGCAGTCATGGTGAATTTGGACTTTCAAAAGTCAAAACTTTGCTAGAGTCTTCCTACTTGGCACCTATGTGGTCCCTCCAAGGTCTCTCCCAGACAAATACACCATGCTGAGCAAATACTCTGCTCAGTTTCCTTGCCTGACTTGTTTTAAAGTGCTGTACAAAGCAGCCTGTTTAAAACTGCATCATGGCCACCAAACATTCATGTGATTCTCAGCTTTGCACGAACGGTTAGCAGCAACATCAGAGAGTAACCAGAGACTTCAGAGAAATAAGCTCACACTAGAATCCATTAATTCACACCTAGTAGGCTTCCGTGAGCAGCATGCAGCAGGCAGCCCACATGGGACATAGTTCTTCTCCAAGCAGCACCTTCATTAACCAGCCACCATCAGGATCCTAGCTCTTGGCTCAATGGGATGATTAGCTCTTACTGGATATCAGTGGTGGTGCAAGAAGATGTGAATGTTTACGTGCAAGCTCAGAGACAGACACATTCAATGCCATTTCAGGAAGCATGGTGAAAAGCTGCTACGTCAAGTGCTGGTTTGGTGTTGCGTGTGATTTTTTTGGTGTTCTTTTGGTCTGTTTTTTTTTAAACACAGTAGCTTTTCTGGTGAAAATGCACTTTAAAATGTCTAAGCATTCAGCTATTGTTTGGAGCTATTAAGCATGCTGTTCCAAATCTTATCTCTGGCAAGCATCCCAATTAAGCAGGCATCCCGTTGATCAGCTTTCTGATCACATGGGATTTGTTCTGCTGCTGCATCTGATATAATACTTTCTGCTTTGAAGAATTTCATGTGTAGCCAGAAGGAGGCCCCACCCTTCTCATTTAGAAAGAAAAAAAATAATCTCAAAGCCTGCTTCCACTGGCAGCATCTTCAGGAAATCAAAGGCAGTTGAAAGAGCAATCTCTTGTTTGTCCTGAAATTGGTGTGGAGCAAGTCAGGCAGCAGGAATTAGACCAAGAGCTCGTTTACTCTGAGCAAAGTGTGGGAAAGCAGAAAGGGAGCAGTCATTGCAGAACAAATTTTTATTTTTCTTCTTTGTCCATGTCTCCCTCATGGCACAATTCAGAAACCAGGGACCTTTCTCATCAGATAAGGTTACCTCTGAAATGAGAGCACTAACCAGACAAACTGACAGATTCAGTCTCAGAGGCAATTTAAATGGCAGGAGCGAAACTGCAGGAGTGAACTGGACCTGCAAGATTGCAAAATGGGAAGATGGGAACTTTCCAAAGAGGAAATCCCAGAGATGTTTTGAACAGCCAGCCAAAGAGTGTCCACTGTGAATTCCCCACAGAGGAAAACCCCAAACAGGAAAGGTTTGCTTTTGGTACAAGGCTAGGAAACCAGTGCTACCATTTTGTGGGAATTCAGGATTTCCTTCTGATGTGCACATACTTTCAAACTCCCCAAGAGGTGCAAAGATTATAGCAGATTAGAGCTTAATGTGCAGAGCAACTAAAGACTTTTTCTGTGGCACATTTTCCCTTCTGCCTCACTTTTCCATCTTCAAAATGGGAATAAACAGCATTTTCCTAGCTTACACAGCAGGGTGAAGATAAAACTGCTAACACGCACACATGATGACCAGAGTGAGGGCAAACATGGAAAATCCTTCACAAGACAGGAGGAACATGCCAGACTGGGGAAATGCCCCGACATGGTGGCAGAGCACCATCATGAAGGGACACTGGCCAGCTTTCCCCGCTGAAACACAGCTCCGTCACGAGCTCGTACACCAAACAGCACAACAGCCTCCAACAAGGAAGAACCCTTCACTGGTCTCTTGTAAGGCTAAACCAGAGACACCCAAACTTTTCAAAGTCAGGGTGACAGATGCTGAGTCTGAAACCCCATTTGGGCAGAGAAGCCAGGTATTGTAGGTGGGACATCAGGAGGCCACTGTAGGCTGGTTTACAGACTTGTACACCTTAATGCTAGAAGAGTTTGTCCTAGGGATCCAGCGAGACCTCCTGTGTGGCACAGCACAAGGAACCTCACCCAGCAACTGCACGTCAAGTACACATTGCCCCAGGAAAGATATTCAGCCCAACTTTAAATGGAGAACTCCTAATTAAGCTCTTGGTTAAAAATGTGCAACTTAAGTCAGCACTGAAGAGCTGCTTGAAGACCTCTGACAATTCTTAAAATATACATAGCAACAGACTCAAACTCAGCTGACAAATGTCACCCCCTCCCAGATACACCAACCAGCAGATACGAGCCATCCTCTCCATGGCATAACAGGGTTCTCCAGCTTGAAAATCTGTTTTAACCAATAGGCAAAAGCAGGGACCGGCAACAAAGGCATCTCTGAACTACCTGCTCTGCAAACACCCATCTCCCACAGGCTTCCCTCCCTACCTGAAGAGAAGCAAATCTTTCCTGCTGTGAGCATAGAACAGCATTACTGTGAAAAACAGGGCTGTGACATTAGCACAACTCTTTGCTGGGACAACTGCAGTGAAATGGGTCTCACTCCCAAACATAAAAAAGTATTAAGGTCTGGGTAGGATTCATCGTCCCCAATTTTAGCCCACCAATACAATGCATCTAGTCCAAGGGAGTCAGCTGGCCTCTTGCCACAGCGTGGAAGAACTCCAGCATCCTCACCCCAGTGTAAAACACCTACCCAAAATAGGATCCCTTGGAACTGAGCCACTCGAGACTTCTAGGAGGTATGTGAATTAACTGGTCAAATATCCACTTGGCCTATGACCCTTCCACTTGATGCCCTGAATCTCGCAGCTCCTTAAGTTATCAGAGGAAAGGAGAGCCACAGAAGATGCTGCCCAGCTCTGTGCAGCACAACTGCCCAAGCTCAGGCACAGGGCTGGGGCCTCAGTGAGCAAACAGGAAAGAAACGTGGAGCAGCATGAACCCGATTCATTGCTGTAACTTACAATTGGCTGTAGCTGCGCGCCTGGTAGCATAAACTGCATTTGCTGAGCAAACATGGCTGCGGCCGTCTTCTGCTGGATCAGGTTGTTGCGTCCGTTTATTTCAAGTTGTGTTTTTAAGTGTGGGGGAGGGTGGAGATATTTGCAGTTCTCTCGGGTACACCGGCCCTAAAACACAAAATGAAACAGCATTTCAGCGAATGTAATACTCAGGGCAGCCAGAGAAATTTAATTGAGGATTGTTTGGGTTACTGTAACAACACAATCATTTAGGCAGAAGCAGTTTGGTAGCTACTGTGCCTCTTTTGTGATTTTTCTATAGCAAGGCAATACTTAGGTGAAGAGCAACATGACTTCTTCTGCAGTAACACTAACTGAATACTATCAATCTAAACCCCAAAACAACAAAATTTCCCCATTTTCTTGTGTGGGTTGTTTTTCCCCTCCCTCCCAACAGCAGACCACTTAACTGGCCCTGACAACCAGACAGCAAGAAACAAAACTGTCTCCACCATTTCCCCAGCTGTACTGGGTAAAACATGAAGACAACAGCTGTGTAAAGCAGCACCTCTGATCTTCAACATGCACGTACCCTGAGATGCCGAGAACTGATAGTCACAGGAGGAAGAACTGAAACAATTTCCCCCTTCATGCTTTCATTTGTCAAAAGCCACAGTATCTTGCATCACTGACTACTTCCCCCCCCCCCCAATAAACATAAGCATTGGGGAAGCCAGTGGCTCCTAGAAAACAAAGGATCACTAATGTTGCAGATTACCTCAAATCAAGTGAGACCATCACTTTTAAAAAACATCTATAAACTATGCCTTGCTTTTAATAGCGTTTGCAAGTAGGTATAGGAAGATAAATAGTAATAGTCCACTGAACGCAGAAAACTAGTAACAAATTTTGTCATTAAGATGAAAAAATTCTTGAAAAAGAGGGGTTTTTCCCCACTCTTTCTCTGTGTATTCTCTCCTCAAGAAACAGAGGCATAGAGAATGCAAGAAACATTTTATGCAACTTTATACTTAAGTTTCATAAATAACTTTTACGCAAAAATGGTGAACTTTTTTAGGAAGTAATTCCTTGGAGCTATTCAGAGCCAATTAAAATAAGGCCAGATCTTGGGGCCACTGAGCTGTTACGTGACAGATAACTAATAATCGTTCCTGCAGCCAGCAAAGCAGCAGGACCATCCATTACCCAGCCTGTCCCAGGCACTCTTGTCAAAGGATGGACACCGAGTTCTCAGCCTCAATATAATTAACTTTGCTTTCAAAAAGGGGCACACCAGGTGACCCCACGTACCCGCTCCCATTAGCAGAATCACACACAGCAGAGCTGTAACCCATAACCAGGTCCACAGGGGTTTGCTGGTTACACACCACCACACCAAGGGCTCGGACTGACGGAAACCCCCTGGGATGGGCTCCTACCTACATCCAGGATGCTCCCCTGAGGATTTTTAAGACTTGTACAAACATAGAGGTGGAATCACTGGACAGTCTGAGTACCACCGCACAAAGCCTACACCGTGACCGACTGCAGAAGCTGTTTTTGAACCCCCAGCCAGGCTCCTCGGTGTGCCGGGAGAGCAGCCTGAGACTTGCAAAGCTTTAGGTGTGCTTTCCTCTGCCCCCCTGCCTGCTGGGGATAACGTCTTCACTGGGGAGAGGGCTGCAGAGCTTGACTGCAGCGTGAAAGGGGCTGTATGATGGAGTACTGTGAGAAACAGGCTCCTCTCTTACCTGCTCCAAGGAGATAAGAGTGTTAAACAAAACCCCTGGCTCCCCGTTGTTATTTAGAGGCAAATAATTAAGTGCAAGAAGTGATGGGCTAAACCCACTGGGACAGGAAATAAACCACTCCCAAACTTCAGCAGCCTGCCTTTGCAGAACGAAACTCTCTGCCCTGCTCCTAGAAGGGCCCAGTGGCTCCCAACAACCCGACTCAAAAAGAAAGAGGCTTTTTAATGCTATTGTTTTGGCTTCTCAGCAGTCCAACAGCCCCAGATCCCCAGCAGCAAGTTAACTGCTCACAGGCCCCGAGGACATGAATCTTCATCACCAGACACTTTCTTACATCTGTGTAAAGTGAGGGTAAAATGGCACCACACATCTGGCTGGTGCTCAGACAACCCAGCACTACTACAAGGTAAATAACAGCATTAATCTGGAAGGAGAAGGAGACTCATCAGCACTAGGCAGATTTGGGTCATCCTTCTCAGGGCATCTTTCCAGCTGCATGAGACCAGGTCCCTCCACAGCCCTTCCCATCACCTGGGACCCAACAAGAGTCCGGCATTCAGGCTCAGAGCATACCTGCTGCATCCCACCTCCACAACTTCTGCGAGGCGGCTCAGGTTGCTGCGGACCAGGAGCAGACCCCGCAAAGCAGCGGGTTGTTGATGGCTAGGCAGCTGCTCTACTCTAAGCTCCAGCCTTCGAGGGCTTACACATCAGCCTTAGAAATTCCTCCTGGTTGAAACTTGGCACAAGTGCTTTTGGGTTGGGAAAACACTAATTTCTACCAAATTTGGAATAAATCTGTGTAGATGTTTCTACACTGCAGGAATGGAGAAGATGAAAAAAGAGCTACTATTTTTGCGAACAATACTTACAGGGCCTTCTTCAACTTGAAAAGGACTTTGCTATTCCAACTGAAATTTTGCATGTCATTGATATCAGCCACCCCAGCTTGGTGTGAAGCTTTGTTCTACTTTTTTCTCAAAACATTGTTTGTTTAATTCCAACAGGGGGTTTTACAAACACAACGTTTTTATTACCAGAAAAAAAACCCATACAGCACGAGGCCTTGATCCTGCAGGCAGAGCTGTGAGCAGAAACCAGTGCCTACATAGAGTGCTACTGGTTTCAATGAGGACATGTATTTACAAGGAACTGCCAGCTGTGCAGATGCTGCTGCAGAGTGAAGGCTGTGAAGTACAGCATGGCTGTCAGTCAGGCATTCTAGGGCTCCAGGAAGATTAAATGAATCATCGCTGCACTTGGATTCAAAACCACACCTTCAGTCTAGCTCCTCCTTGCCATCATTTTGAACCTGAGCATCATCAACCACTGCATTTCACTAGGATGGGTTAGAAGTCACAGCTGAGTCGGGTTGCCCTCTCCAACACCACAGTAGGCTCTTCGTCTCTCAGACAATGAATTTTAGGAACTGATGATGTGATAGAGTGACACAAAATGTTCCCAGTTTAGACATCCAGGTATGAAACAGCTTTCAAGAAGTCTCGCTCTAAAGTGATGGACACCTCTAGTATCCTCTGAACTCCAACACTGGTAGAGGTGATCCCTTCTACACTTCTGTTGCAATGCCCACAGCTCTCAGGACTTCTCGGCAACACATACACTCTTCAAGACCAACTTCAGCTCTACGACAGCCACCAGAAGGACAAAAGAACTGCCATTATTCACTTCTCAGTACCAGCTGCAACACAGCAGGGAAAACAACAGGGAACTGGTAGCAAATCTGCTGTGTGGATGTCGGGCTGGGGACAAATAAGGACAACTCCATTTTATACCTGGGTGGCCTAGGAATACAATATGAGAAAACACAACAGGAGTCAGGCCTCTAAGTTTCAGATGAGCATCTTTATGCTAAAAGGCGCAGTTTTGCTGCAGTGACTAGCTGTGGCTCCAGCACATTGAATGCTCGGCAGAGGGCACAGAGCCCTGCACAGAGACTTGCTGAGACACTCTCCAAGCTGAGTGTTGCACCAAAGAGCACCATCCTAGCACCTGGAGTGGGTTGCTGCATGTGTTGGGAAGGGGCATGGTGCTCAGAGACTGAACCTGTGTCAGCGAGTGGCATGCTGAGCCTGCTGGGACCAGTGCAGCCATCCTGTTATAACTGGAGGAGTTTGTTGCTGTTAATTTAGCATGAGTATTGACTCCAGGGAAGGCGCATGCCCACCCTGTCCGGGGTGGCACACGAGCCTGCAGCCAGGGAATCACCACCCAGCAACAGACTCTGCTGCTGGCCTTGGTAACATGCTAAATATATCTGTATTTTCTGGCTTCTCGCAAAATGGAAGGAGTCTGAAGGACCATATTCGTCAGCTTCTTTGCCAACTACAACCAGGAGGGAAAAGCATATGGACTGCACTTCCCAAGGCTTGAAAAATGGATATTAAAAATAAATCAATAAAAGATTTTGTAAGAGTATCTTCTCCCCCTTTCTTCCCACACACTCCCCCACCCTTACAGTAGGCTGCTGGCATGTGATTGACTCTGTGTTGCCAACTTAAGTCATGCTGTGATGGCGCATACTGTAAATGGCTGGCATCTGACACTAGCGAACGTGACAGCAGCTTGCAGTGCAACAAAGCCAGCTGTTTTGAGTGCAGCACTGATGGCAGCAGACTTAAATCCAGTAGAAGAACCTGCATTACACCTGGCTGTTTGGAGTCTGCTGGGCTGCACCTTGTCATCTGCATCCTAGCTCAGAGGGGTGCAAATAAGAGCACGCTGGATACTGCACCAGGCTGGATGAACCTACTCTAAGCATGCTGCACAAATTCTCTTCCTGGTGGCTGCTGAGGCAAGCTGAACTGTGCTGCAGAAACAAGGCTTCCAGCACAAACCCAAGGCTTGCTCACGTTTGCACCAGTAATGCAGTTTGTTATGGTCTCTTTAATCCTGGACGCCAGCAAGGGGTTCCAGAGCAGACACGTTTCTGGTTTTAATGACTGCACTGTATGTCCCATCAATCATCATCAGTTCTCATGTGAAAATCTCTAAGCTAATGTTGCTTTTCACACACTGGAGGCTGCAGTAGGCTTGCGCCCTGACTGTGCTGTCTTTTCCACAGACACTGATGACATGTGCAATGACTGACAGCAAAAAGAATGAAAAGAGACCAGGCAGGAAAGGATTTCCATGTTTTGCACAAAACCAGGCACCAAAACACAGCTTGTCTACATAACTTTTCCCTGCATGAAGCAGCAGATTTCCACCTCCCTAAGAGTAACTCAGTGGGGAGGCACATTCAGAGATGTGCTGGCCCTGCTTACTCAGTGCCTGTCGCTCCAGCGCTGAGGCATGAAATGCTGTCTGCTTTCCATCCCACTCAACACATGCACACAGAGGCCTTCTCCTGACCAGGGGTCCTCACTCCTGCCAGAGTCTTGCATGGCTTTCACATAT